TTGATTCTTGTATAGATGGCCTTAGAAACACAGGAGGACATGTCAGGATCAATATGTGCCAGCTCACACAACACACTGCATTGACTCATAAAACGGGTTTATTATAGTAAACCAATGACTGACACACATACACACACAGGTCATTACAGACTTTAACTGGTAAGAATTAAGATACATATTTTATTCTAAATGATTTATATTGAATCATCCATGGTGTCAGTGTTTTAGTATTACTGCTACTAAAACTTCCACCACAAGTAACTCTACTACACAGGTTAGTCGTGATTGCCTTAAATTCAAACAGTAAATCTATTTGATGATGTGGTTGTGGTTTTTTTAGCTTTAGGGACAGAAACAATTGTGGTTAGATTTAGAGAGAGATCATGGTTAAATGTCCCAAGAAGTATGTTGTTAGCTTAGCTTAGCATAAAGACTGAAAGCAGGGGGAGACAGCTAGCCTTCACAGATACTCCTACAAACACCCTACTGATCATAGTGTGTTTTTTTATTTGGACAAAAACAGACATGTAAAGAAAAGCAGATTTAAGTTACTTGTTGCATGTTTATCTTGAAAACTCTCCAGTGACTTCCTACGGTCAACACCATGACGTATTTGTTTTTCCGAATTATTTTTGGATTGTAGTCAATTGTTTTATCGCATCTCCTGTTTTGAAGCATTGTTCTAATTGTTGTGTTTGTTTCATCAATAGAGAATCGTAAAAAGCAAGAAAATGATGAAACTATTAATTTGTTCCCGTCTGTTCGTCTTGGATTATTTTCCTTTTATTAAAAACGTAGTATCCATAACAACATATCGCTAATATCCCAGCGTCTCACTGTAACTAGTACCAACTGCTGCTGCCACCTCTACTGCTTATCCAAACAAAAGGACCTCTTGAGTGCAACGGAGCTTCATAAGAAGGCCGACAGTATAAACAAGAGGATGAAATATGTGCGAGAGACGGCATGCGGTCAGAATGCGGTTGAAAATAAATTCATGATGTTTAATGAAATAAAACTCGGAGAAGCCGTTCGCCTCGTGGAGCCGAGTGTTTCGGGGGGGGGGGGAGCAGATCTGAACCGCAGCCCTCAAACATTCCTTCAGGGGAAGCTGCTCAACCTGGTTTCTATTAAACAGGGCCAAAGTGGGCTGAACAGGGCTAAAGACGGCTGCAGAGGCCTTACTTATTATCCTTCATGTGAATCGTTCCAGTTGTTAACCTTCTTGTACTCAACTATTTCCATCTTGTGCTACTTTATATTTGTACTCCACTCAGAAAGAACACCTTCGATTCAAATTGGTTACTTTTATTTTTTGGAAGATTGTTTTGCAGTTACATAGTAAGTGTATGGAACAAATACTTTACGAGTATTACAGCATTGTTTGGATTTGAAATCCCATCTGTCAGAGTCTGTCCGGCTCGCCAACTTAGTTTACTACTAAATGAAACCTGCACAGAATTTGGTGGAATTGCTCAATTGACTTTAATGTCACTTGATAGTGTTTTCAAATTGAAAGCATGGCAGCAGCTCTGAGTTTCCAGCAGAGGAATAAGGGTCTGGCCCCATTTTCAACCCCCCGGTGAGAAGTTCCACCGCAGTGTGACAAAAACACGACGCGATGACGTTTATCGCTGTGGATACTTGTGGAAGCAGATCTGTGCAAGCAGATGCCGTCTGGTAATGTCAACACAGCTCATTGGAAACAGCTGAAAACAGCAGTGGAAAGGTTTTCCTGAGGGGGGCGCAACAGAGAAAAGGTCAAGTGGGCCCCCCCACCACCACTAACAACACAAAACTAAAAAAAGACTTTTGCCTGATTGAATTCCATTACATTTTAATTGTCCTTGAAATAGTGTTATCTTTAACGTTATCAGAATTAGAGGAAATGCAGTTTGAGTGAAAAGTCTTTTATTTTGAAGGGCGTCATATAGGAAATGTTTTTTGGGTGTTGTTGTATACGTTCAACAAGTCAAACTCAACTTAAATGCGGATCATCAACCATGAAACATGGATCATGAAGTCAAGGATTTCTATTATTTTTGTGTCATAAAATCGTTTGTTTGTCTCACGGACGTCCGGATTGAAAATGTTTAATAATTAACAAAAAAATCCTGTTTTCTTATTGGGATATCTAACTTGAGAGGATCAAAGAAGGGGTGAAGGGTCAGAGGTCACACCACAAGGACAACAGTGATAAGTGGGCCGCCAAAGCGAGAGAACAGATGCCACAGAAGAGGAAAATGTTGCATTAAGTAAAAAAGTATTTGTACTTCTAGACTGCAGAATCACAGTTAAAGCATTCAGTAAAGTATGTGAACTTATACTCAGTACTGTACTTGAGTAAATGTTTTAAAGCCGCAATCCAAGTTTAATGACAAAAGTTGATACAATTTACAGTGTTAATACAAATACTTAATACATTTGTAATATGTTGGATAATGCTATTTTGATGTTACACAAAATAAACCTGTAATCTTATAATATATATAAAAAATCTTATATATATATAGCAACATTTTTTAGAGAAATATTATATGTTATGATTCAAATCAGATTATGTTCATGCTTTAGTTGACGGTTTACTTTTGATTCTGGAAATATGACTTTACTTTCATATCATCACTTCATTCTTGAAATATCACAATTGTCCTTTCAAAAATTTTTTTTTAAATAGAATAGTTTCCCCTACTATTCCATTGAATCATGTGACTTTTACGATATATTTATGAACATGAATTAATTTCTGCAGTTACCCACGTGACACGTATAACTTTTACAAGTTAGTTCATTTTAGTTTTAGTTCATTTCCAATGAAGTCTCTGACTAAAAACCTGACGACTGTGTGCGGTATTCTTTCCGACGGTTGTATAAAACACTGACGGACAGTTTGTGCCGTCGCAACGCGTTTTCAAACACAACAATGAGCCATTTCCATCTCCTCCCGGGGTGGCGTTTGATGGTTACTGTGCCTCTCAGTGGTTGAATGATGAGGAACAAAGAGCTCAGTGAAGTGAGAGCCAAGACGGGTCTCTCTCAGCTCGCAGACAAAAAGCTGAAGCGCTCGAATACAAAGAGTGAAGCGCAGGACAGAAGAGAGGGAAACGCTGCTGACCTGCTCAAGCTTCCTGCTCATTAGTGTGTGTGTGTGTGTGTCCTGTTTGCACCAGTGTACTCCCGACTGTTTCAAACAATAAACAATACTGAAGATGATGATGACGAAGAGGATATTAGCCTACTTCTGATGTTTTGCACAGCAGTACAACAATTGCCAGATCCTTATCTAAAGTAAAAGTAACAACATATGTAAATCTCCTACATTGAAATGTATATTTAAATAAAAAGTACAGGAGTATGATTAGCTAAATGTGACTATTTAGAATTTTGAGGGTGTTAATTAAACCACAACCAGCGGGGAAAGAGCTATTCAAATGTTATATTCAAGTAGAGGCAGGAGCAAGAAGATCCCTCCAGACAGTACGAGGTATCTTCTGGGGAACATGAATGTGAACAAACGTTCTAGGAAAGTCTCTCCTGTAGTTATTGGGAAACATTCGTCTGAACCAAAGCAGGACCTATCGACCCGTGAACATTGACAACAATGAGGTACTTCATCCCGGATATCAAAGTCGGTTTGAGTGAAAAAGCAAACAAAGTAGTTTTCGTGAAGAAGTTCGTGTGGCCTTCAAACAGCATTGGCATCTACATGTCGCCGATTTCCCGTTTAATACCTCATGTGATCAAGCAGCTGAGCAGGAAGCACGTGGTCATGTGACACCAGGCGTATGGTACAGTTACAGTGTGTGCTTTAATTTCACTATGTCCACTTCCTCGATGACATCACCCTCCCGTTTCTCAGTATGACATGTACGTTGTTTACTCTCCCAGTCATATGATGGCACTTAAGCCTTATGACTTGATGTCTGTGTTTCAGTTGGTGAGACATGTTTTGGCAAAGCTTTCAAGCTTATTGGTTGTCACCTTGGAAACGAGGCAGAATGGATTTCATAAGAAAAGAGGAATTTAAGATACGTCATAAAGTGCAGTTTTTGTGGATAAAACCGTCCAAGTTTTATAACGATGTGATCATTCTTCACGCCGGAGGGATTTTACTGATAATTGTTATGGAATCAGCCTTGTTTATGCATTTATTGGATTTGGTGAACATTAAATATGCACTTCATGAATAACTGTGGTCTGGTGGATAGTTCTTTTAGACAGAGTCCAGAGTGCAAACTGTTGGTGAGAGAGCTGAATTCTTCTGACTTCTTTCAGACAAGGACATAAATATTAAAATGACTCTTAAATCCAAGTTGACGAGTCTTGACTTTGGACAGACTGACGCATTGTTCGTTTAGATGCTTCTACCTCAGAAGGTCAGGAGACACGTTGAGCCTGCAGTAACCCTCCCGTCAACAACCAGCGGCTCAAACAAGCATAGTGTTCATCCACAGAGTTACAATGACCACGAAACAGGGAGGGAAGAGGAATCGAGGCCAGACTGACCGCTAAACCAAACTGGAGTAATTACAGAGGCCGGCGGTTTGATGCATGTCTGTTCTTCCTCCTCCTCCCCGGTGCCGCCACACAAATCACCCTCACTTTAAAGAACGGGTTGGAACTCTTCATGCAACAGATGTTGAGAGGCTCAATGCACATTATGGACACAAACCTAGCATACAAACTTCAATCGAACTACGAAGAAATGAACGGTTGATTCATAGATTGATCCCTCCATCGTTTGAGGCAAATGTATATTGAGTGATGAATACAGGCCTACGTTGAAGCTTCTCCTTCGTATGGCCACGTAGTGTACCGTGGACGCAGGGGGGGGGGGAGTATCTAAGTTAGTTATAGAGTCACATCAGCGTGGTCCTTCACATAGTTGAGGTCATGAATCAAGTACCACAGTAGAGCAAGGAGAAGAAATTAGCCCATTTTTGAATGGTCTGGTGAGATGGTTCATCCCCCCCCCCTCTCTCCCTCTCTCCCTCTCTCACCTTGACAAACAGCAGGAATCCAATGCCTCCTCTTCCTCCACTGCTGGGCCTGCTTCCTCACACCGACGCCTCCACAGGGAGAAAAGCAGGAGTGATGAAGGCGGCCCTTCTGCCTCCTCCTCCTCCTCCTCCTCCTCTTTAATCTCTCTCCGTCCACGCTACACTCGGCGGCCGTCTCCCAGGTGACTCAGCAAGACAATGACATCATCCCTTTCGGCACACACACCTGTTTCCTCCACAAGCGCCGCCCCCTCAGCCACCGCCCCCTTTGCTCAGTTGCACTTCCTGGATCTCTTAAAGGGAAAGTGTCCGCCAGACAGTATATCTTCATACTCCACAGAATTTTCGCATTTATTGGACAATATGACATAGACGAGGTGGGATTTAACAACGGCCCCCTGGCTGGAAACGAACCAACTGACTAACAACTGACTAAAATGACTGATAGTGATCGAGATGAAATATTTGTCAACCAGTTTACAGACCAGCTATCACTCCAGAGTCCCATTAAAGCACATCAGACGCTCCGCCACAGGAGGCCTATAGCTCATTCAATGTGTTTGTGTGTGTGTGTGTGTGTGTGTCTGTGTGTGTGAGCGAGATCATTTGTTCCACATAATGATTACAGCGTTGGGTCCTCGGTGCTCCGGCTGGCGTGCCCCATTTCAAGTTCCCGTCCAATCAAAGCGTGACACATGAAAGTAGGCACCTGCAATATTTACGACTAATGAATTTTAAAACACATTAAGCCGCAACATTTAATTTCCCCCCCCCACCTCAGGGTTGCAGGGCGTCACACCGAGACAACACTTTTCCTGTATCTAATGAGGGGAGCGTGTTGCCGGGAGCTAAATGTGATTCACGTTATTACTTCGAGAAACCCTGCTGGGGCTGTAAACACACGCAGGATGAAACAACCAATTAATGAAAGATGCAAACGCCGAAAACAAAGAAGAATTATATTCTGAGTAATTTCATATTGGAGATGAAACGCCAGGAGGGAGAAGAATAAAAACAATGCAGCAGTCTGCTGCAGTCAACGTCTAAACAACTTTGATAGTGCAGCTATTATGCAATGTTTGTCCTGAGGGTGGCAATAGAGGCAAGGTCATGGGGTCATTTAAAAGGATGGAAAATGTACAAAAGTTATGAAACGATCCAAATACCAGCTCCTCACATGTTATACATATCCAGCTGCTATAGCGTCTTCTTTGTAAATGTTGAGAATGCACTCAGACCTCAGTTCAAAAATGACTAACTCCTTCTTACTTGAAACACAGAAGTATTATCAGCCTCATGTAAATTGAAGTCGGCTGCTTTTCTTATCGGTGTGTGCACCACATCGTGTCCCTAAAAAAAGATACACACTCAAAGTCTCAGTTACACGGGTGTGGAAGCAGCCCGTCGGGTTCTGTATCACTGTAATCATATGTGGGAGAAGAAAATACACACACACACACACACACACACTAACACAAATAATGACACACACTTATTTCCGTCTCGTCTCCCATGGCGACCAGCCTGCTCTCTGTCGCCACGGCGATAGATCTCCAGCTTAGGCCCACGGCCGACAGACTGCAATAGGCGAGAGGCCATTGAGATGAGAGAGTACGTAATACAACGTTGATGTACCCGTACTTTACTTGAGTGTTACAGAACTCTGTACTTCTACTTCTATCAGGCACCTGTACATACAACTGTGTAAAAAGTTAACCAACAAATCCATTGTTTCTTTATAAAAAGCTCCTGTGCAGTCACCTGCAACATCAAAATGCAGATCATATGTTACTGCAATGACAAAAATAATCTAAATCTAAATTCATGATGTAATGTAACGGGGAAAGCACCTGTTTTGGTTGCATCTTTTTTTGTTTACTTTAAGTTAATTATCTTGATAACGTTACACCCCTTTAGATTAAAAAGGAACTACTGCTTATGGGCCTAATCATTTCTTGATTTACCAACTCATTCTAAGAATAAGTATAAAATATAATAAGACTTTTCACAACTAATCTCTTTTTAAAGAGATAGGGGGGGCAGCCGCGCACACACACACACACACACACAAACACTCGGCGTGGGAACCGAGTGTCAGCATGTAAGGTTTTATTCATTTGCTAATTTTACACAACAATGCAACAATAGACGCTCTCATTAGGAATGCAGACTGAGAGAGAGAGAAAGACTTTGAGTTGTATGACTTACTTTTATTCTATAAACCGCTGAAATTCACAACTTTACATCAATTTGTCTCCTCTTAACTGTCCTCCAGGATGTCATTATTGAAAAGAAGAATGCTCTAAATTTGTGCAAAATTCCCATTTTGCAACTGAATTGTCTGTTTCATTAAAGCTTGGCTGGACCCCCCCCCCACCTTCAGTCTGTGAGCAGGTTTAATGTTTTTATGATAAAACCTGCTAACCTGATAAATATATAGAGCTGTGACATAACGATGACATCATCTGAGTAGTTAGAGAGTGTGGTGATGTCAAATAAATCCAAACATGCATGCACACACAATAATAGTTGTATTATTAACTATTATAAAATGTGGCTTGTTTTAGTTACTTAACTTTAGTTTAACCCTTGATTTTAATTCCTGGTCACCTTTCTAAATGTATAAATATATAAAATATATAATAATTCAGAAACTTTTACAATATAAATATTTTTCGTGCAGAGAATCAGTGAAGAGAAACAACAGAAAACAGAAGAATCCTGCAGAAACACGAGGCCCACGCACACGTACGAACACGCGCAACACTCACACACGCACGCACGCGTACATAGAAGCTTCTCCTCCTGCAGCTTTAAACACGAGTAGCATCTGTTTCACAGCAGCAGAAAGACCGATGCATGTGCTGTGCACGCGTAGCGTCAATGTGCACGCGGATAGTAACGCGCGCACACGCGCGTATAAAGACAATGCGCAGCAGGTGCCGGTTAAAGAGCGAACAGTCCGATGAACATTAAACCTGCGTCACTGCCCCCCCCAGTAGCCAGCTGCTTACCTTCAGACTCTGAGGGACGGATGAGTGAAGCCTGGAGGAGCCACCAAGGTGACGTCAGCAAACACCGACCACGTCCGGTCGTCCTTTCAAAATGAAAGCACTAGAATGACGACATTCCTGCAGTCCAAAGGGGTGCAGTGTCTCTATATATAGATAGATAGAGAGACTTAAGTAATTGATAAAGAACACAATTATGTTAAATATATATATATATATTATAATACATATTTAAAATTAGTTAAATGCTAAATAAAAATACATTTCAAAAAGTTCAATAAAAAGTAGGTTATTGAGCTTTCTAGTCACATCAATCCCTAACTTTTGAGCACTGCTACTGTTTAACTAAGTAATATAAAAAGGAAAAATCAGATATTGGACAATTAGACATTAATTGTATTTGGTTATGAATAAAGAGTACAAGCTGTGGACTTTGGCTTACTGTTAACACAGTGGCTCATGATTTATAAATGGTTCAATGATTTATTAACAATTAGTAGAGCCATTAGTCACAGCTCATAAACGTAGTGACTTATACATGGTGCTAAAGTGTCCCTCACAGCCTCAACGTGGGACATCAACAGGAGTAACACACATTATTAATAAAAGTGCCTGCTCTTAACTACAACGGCAATCAACTTGATCAAACATCTATTTTGTCAAAATTAAATAATTTAAGTTAAATTTCTTAAAAGGAATTAGAATTGAGGAAAAAGTGAGGTTGAAACAATCAACAGCATATTTCTTTACTGAGCTTAAACATGGAAAACCACAAAGTCTGATCCTCCAACAAACAGCTTCACAAAGTCACAGACGTCTGTCAACAAACCAACAGTCAACGTCTTTGTCTTCAACCGGTGGTCTCTAAATGGATCAGAGACGTCCAAAATGTCCCCGTTGGGTTCACGAGCTTCAGTATTTCAATTCATTAGAATCTAAATGAACGTCACAAGCTTCCTACTTGTTCCCTCTGAAGACTTTTTACGTTTCACTTGGTCTACTCGCGTAGCAGCTTTCCCGATAACTGTGATATATTATAAAAAATTGACAATTTAAATGTTCCAACGCCTTTTAAATAATTCCATATATAGTAATGATAACTTGCCAATAAAGAGACATATTTGTGATGAATCTGAATTAATTATTTTGGCCACAACAGCGTGTAATGTGTAGAACAAATCCGCAGACGGCCCCGGTTCCATCATTTGCAATGCTTCTAAAAGAATCTTTGAAGCAGAACTCATATGGCTTATTTCCAGGTCCCAGTTTAACCGCTGCAGGCTGCTCGGGCTTTAGTCCTACTCGAAGCTCTCCAGGACGGGTTCGTGGCCCGTCTCCTTGAGGAAGCGCAGCAGGTCGTCCGGGCGCAGCCCCATGGTGGCGGCGTTGGTCATGGGGTGGAAGTAGACCCGCTCGTGGCCTCCCTCCACCAGGTCCCGGTCCAGGACGCACCTCACACTGTGGTCCTTGTCGAAGAGCAGAGCGAGAGCGGTCGCACAGCCCTGACCCACCTGGGGGGAGACCGACGGAGAAAGTAGAACTCAGACCGTACCGCTTCCGTCTGGTTTGACTCCAGAGCCACCAGATTCGCTGTTGACGTTTCAGTGAAGTGAGCGTTTTTTTAAACCCGCCTCTCACCTTGAGTTTCTCCAACATGGCCGCCTCCTCTGCGAAACGCAGGTTGCCGCTGCCGACACCCAGCTTCTTGGCGAGGTTGTTGAGGTTCACCTGCAAGGGGATTATGGGAGGATGCACTCAGGACAAAGCAGAGAAACACACGCACGCACGCACGCTCGCAGGTCAGGTCAGGTGTGTGTGTGTGTGTGTGTGTGTGTGTGTGTGTGTGTGTGTGAGAGGGGGAACGTAGAGGCGTGAGCTGACCTGGCGGTCGTGCCGAGCCGACACCAGCCACAGGCCCTTCTTCTTCTTGTCCTTCAGGAAGAGGTTCTTGGTTACGGCTCCGCTCACGTCCTGCAGGTGAGGCATCATCTCCTCGACGGTGAACACCTGCAGATCAAAAGGTTTAATATCTGCTGAATCTACAAATCATTTTAGGGAAAGTGACGTCACACACACGGTGCGAGGGGACTGGGCATGAAGCTGTTAAGTGTGAAGGTGAGCGACAAAAGTGATCATATCGCGCCCCCTGCAGGTCACTTTGAGTTGTTGCAGCCGAAACGTGTTACAAAATCCCTAAACATGGATCTGAAAATGATTTCCTGTTTCTCAAAACGTTGAAATGTATATTTCGCATAAGGCGTATGTACACACTAAAAATGTGTGGTAGTTTGTGAATGTATAATCTTTGTATTTCAGAATAAAATCTGACTTGTGACGTTTTCCATTTGGAGAGAATGTCGTCCCAGACTCCTTCCAAAAACTGTTACTTTCTAGGTTACCTTAATTATTTCTAACAAGAACATGATTGAAGGAACGTCTTTGCCAGATTTCATGTTCGATTGATCCCATGAATAATCCGACATAAAAGCATAGTGGAAATGCAACTTTAACGTTACTTCTGATAACAAGTTCACGTCCACGTGTCCCGACGCTGAAAGTACACCGCCGTAATTACAATGCATCAATGCATCAGTGCATCAGTGCATTAGACAATTAGTGCGAACACTCGATCATTAATGCAGTGTCTCAAGATAAGCATCCGGGTGGTTTCAGAGAAGGCGAAGATACGAACACGTTGAAATGTGTAACAACATGATTCAGTAGTCTTTCAGCATCGCATACACCTGCCGCTTCAATGACGAATGTCGCTTTAAAATGTGTTTCTGACTTTAGAAGAATCTTTTTATTTTTTGTTAACGTCGCAGTGAAGCGGAGCAGTTTGCAGGTTTTTTTTACCGGCGGGTGATCCACGCACGTCGTCTGGATGTTTAAACCCTGCAGGAATTCATCCAGCTCCGACCGCAGCCCTTCAGCCATCGCCGACTAAAAAACAAGGTTTCTCTCTTTAAATGAACGAAGAGAAATCTGCCGAGGACTGGTGCTCGGAGTCTCTGCGGTGGACAGAAACCAACAGCTGCACAGTGGAGAAGAGAAGAAGAAGAACTCTTCTTCGCGGCTGTGATTCACAGCAGCTGATGTCGCTGCTGCCCTCTTCTGGACCTCTTCTATTTGCTCCTCCGAGTTCCAAAGAAATACACACAAGAAGCTCAACAGCGAGGCTTTCATGTAAGAAGTGATTGCTGACTTTTTGAACATTGCAGTGAGGTGTTCTGATGAAAACCGGTCCTGGTGCTATTAAACCGTCTGCTTTCACTTATAGAGGCCTTGCATGTTGGATTTTGCATCATTTTCTCACTCACTCACTGATCCCTGGAGTCATCTTTTTTAAACCGTCATCATGTTTCCACAGTGATTTATTCATGTTTGTCATTTCATTTGTCCTCATCCCGTGTACCAGTTCAGTGCATGTTCAGCCAACTGGCCTCCAGTGCTGCGGCATTCCGGAGAATCACCCAACTGCACATATCATAAACCTTTTTTTTACTATTCTCACATAAATACCTGCTCAGCTGAGACAGCAGCCTCCGTGGAGCAGGGTTTACATCACATAAGTTGTGAGGGTGCTGCACCATGTGAAATATCTACCATCTGGGGTTTGGACTCTAAAATCGGCATGGTGATGACGTCAAAAAGCCAAAGCGTTGCACCTACGCCTGGTCTCCCATGAGCGAAGGTGTGCTTTAGAATGGACATTGTCTAAGAGTCTGTGTCTAAACACGAGCATAGCCAGTGAGAAAATAAAGGTAACGTATTACTAAGAAGGTGAAGAATGAGGACTGGGACGGAATGCAAAGTATGAGTTGCTCTCAATGCTTCCCAATATTAATCAAAATGCAAATAGCAAAAAGATTATTACCAAAGAAACAAAAACATGACCTTCATATGTTTATGGGAATAGAAAGCAAGTTAGTGCTGTGCAAGAGGTGGGATGGTGTGATCGATATCCAGTTATTTTAAGTATTCATTTATTCATGTATTCATTGGCCAGACAATCTATCAGGATTGTGGAATCGGGCACTAAACAAAAAGAATGATGATTCACAATAAGAACTGAAGATAGGATGCAAACAGGTGTTTAAAGAAATCACATCGGGGACATAAAAACTGCGTTAAAAACCGATGAAGTAACGGAAACACCATGATTATAATCTTTCTTTTTTAAGATGAGCAGTTAGTAAACCCCTCACGCATGTTCAATGATGTCCTAAATTTGGGGATTTGTGTCGCATCGTCTTACGGATCTGCTCCTTTTTCTATCTGCAAGCAACGTCTTTTCTCACCACAGATCTCAGGTTTAACTACTAAACAAACTAAACATGTGTAAAGTCTGTGGACACAAAACCTCCATACCATCCGTCCCAGAGGTGCAAGATGGGTTTGTAGGGGCAATAGTTTGTAATTGCTAAACTGACTTTTTCAGACCAAATACGTTCAGCAAACTATTTCAGAATTGCTGACTGTACAAAAAATAATAACATCAGGAGAGAGCTCAAGTTCATGGCCAGAGTTTCCACAAAGCTGGATGTTTGCTGACCTGCTCCAAATACACTAATTCAAAAAACCTTAACTTCACTGTAATCCTTCAGATTGAAGCTAGAGGGCTTTTTGTTGCTTTGAAACAACAACTTCCAGCGGATCAAAATGAAGTGAAATCGACCCATATTTCCCGGGGGCTCGATGCATCTGTCCTGGATGCCCTCCACAAGGCCCCAAACGAAAAGGAATTCCTGCTGTGGAAACCGACATGACAACATGCAGTAGCGTCTAATGGCCGCCTGGGGGCGCTGCCCTCCATGTATATCCGCAGCATCAGCATCAGACCGTCGTTAGAAGTTATCGCACAATAATTGCGCTCAGATTGGAAAATGATAAAAAGGGGTCCGCGGAGGTTTGGGTTCGACCTCCAGCAGCATACATGTCACAAGTTGTAGAAGCAAGATTGCACTCCTTGTCCCGACACTTATAATTAACACAAATGAAAACCAGCTCCCTCGCGTTGGTTGGATAAGAACCATCCAGATAAGATGAAACCTGTCTTCATGGAGAAAAGGCACTAAATCATCCTGCTTCGTTTAGCCTTAAAATGTCAACCAAAGTTACCCTGCAACGAATTAAACAAGCAGTCCCAGGAGCAGGATGTAGTTTTATCTTCTAAAATATGTCAGAATAGTACTCAGATTTTATTGGGTGGATTAGTTTTATAATAGCCCCCCCCCTCTTCATTCACACCATAATTGATCGTCCGTTCACGTTCGGCGTCATCTCAGCCTTTGTTTCTCTCTCTCTCTCCGGTGTGTGTGTGTGTGTGTGTGTGTGCGCGCAGGATTTAGTGTGTAACGGGTGAAATTCGTAGTGACACAAGTAATACCTAAATATATTGTTTCAGTCATTCTGCGCCATTACGCACGCTCATCCACGGACACTGTCTGTCCTCACCGAGACGTTTGCAGGGGAAGGAACTAAGAAAAGCCCCAAGAGACTGTCTGGTTTGTGCATCATTTTCGGGCCCACTTTTTTAGATTGGCTTCTCAGTCAGCCTATCAGGCTATCCAGCATTTCTTTTGACGTCACCAGTTAACTTCTTTGAGATGTATAAGAGCGAATTGAAGTTTTTAAGTGCGTATCTTTGTTCACACGTGGACAGAAAGCAGCGTGCTCGTTGCTCGGCAGGCTGGACAACAAGCAAAAACAAGTGTTTTTTGTAGGTCAGGTATTTTGGGAATATGCCCGTAGCGTGCCACGTGCGTAAAGCCGAGGGTAACTTCTAAATTGCAGAATTAAGGCGTTGGGGGTTCACGAAGGAACGAGAGCGTGTCACAGTAGTTTACCCCGACGGGGGCTGTGGAAAGGAATTACTCATTTCCCACACGGACACTGGCACATCCGCGCGCGTCTGTGTCACCGCCGGACGGGTCTCAAAGTCAATGGAGAAGAAGGGACAGAAGCCAGCAGAATGGTTGTTGCGGGAGCGAGCAATGGGACCGTTGGTAGTGGCAACATGAGGTCTTCGCTCATGATCGACGACAGAGTCGGCGGTGGAGATCCCGGCGTCTCCACCAGCTTGATGATCTCGGAGGCTCTCGCGCCTCGGCTGCTGAAGATCGCGCAGAGCGCCGCCGAAGCAGCGGCGGCGGCAGCGGCGGCGGCAGTAACGACGTCTCCATCCACCACCAGTCAGCCGCTGGTCATGGAGACGAACGGGACGCGCTGCGGGGAGCAGATTCTGAGCTACGGCTGGGCCGAGAAGGTCCTAATCGGTGGTGTCCTCACCATGCTCACACTGTCCACCATCTGCGGGAACATGTTGGTGGTCATCTCCGTGTGCTTCGTCAAGAAGCTGCGCCAGCCGTCCAACTATCTGATCGTTTCTCTCGCCGTGGCGGACCTCTCGGTGGCCCTGGCGGTGATGCCGTTCGTCAGCATCACGGATCTGATCGGTGGTCAGTGGATATTCGGACAGTTCTTCTGTAACGTTTTCATCGCCATGGATGTGATGTGCTGCACCGCGTCCATCATGAGTCTGTGCGTAATCAGCATTGACAGGTGAGATGCATGCGTGTTGCGCGTTTAACGATGTCACACCGTTGAAGGCGACTTGATTGTTATTCGGACACGACGGAGAAGACAACGGGGCAGATGTAAACAACTTTATTTATTAGTAGCCTCATTTTATATCACGGATTCATTCAACTTTTACGCATCGCAGTTCGGGACTCAAACTCTCCACATATTTTTTTGAAGAACAAATATTCGGCAATACGTATTTTTAATCCCATATTTTCACCCGGGCTGAATATATTTGTCAGTCCTGTATGCAAATTGAAAGGTGTTGTATGGAAAGTCAAAGCGCAAAAGCTCATTAAGGCTCCGGAGCAATAAACAGTAAATCACTCAAATTGCGTCTAATCTGAATACAAAATGACTCTAATCAACGATTCCCCATCTTTTTTTCGTCAGTTGGCAGTTTGATAAAAATCATCAAATCTTTGATTTAACGCACATACGCGTCTCTCTTGGGCTGTTGCGTCAAATCAATATCTAAATAAACTGGCAAGATAAACGGACGTATAGAAGCACACACTGATCACTCAGGGTCTTTCCCTGCATCTTGGAACAGCATCCAACCCGCAGGCTGCACATGGCAAGCACAGATTGCTGTTAAGCACCTTGCTCAAGGGCACCTTGTCAAAGGTTGACCATGCATCAGGGTAAAAAAAAATAAAGACAATGAAAACACCTTCATAAAAAGAGGAAAAAATGAATCGTGTAAAATTAGTCTGTAAATAATTGACGTGGACAAATCTTTCTCTGTAGGTATCTGGGTATCACGAAACCCCTGACGTATCCCGTCCGGCAAAACGGCTGCTGCATGGCCAAGATGGTCCTGTCGGTGTGGCTCCTCTCCGCCTCCATCACGCTCCCCCCTCTGTTCGGCTGGGCGCAGAACGTCAATGACGGCAGGGTCTGCCTCATCAGTCAGGACTTCGGCTACACCGTCTACTCCACCGCCGTGGCGTTCTACATCCCCATGTCGGTCATGCTGATCATGTACAACCGCATCTACCGCGCCGCCAAACTCAGCGCCGCCAAGCACACCATCACCTGCTTCCCCAGGGAGAGGGAGCACGGCGCGGGGCTGGCCCCGCGAGGGGCGAGAAGAGGGCAAGAGGCCCACCGGCCAGCGGCATCGGGAGAAACGGCCAGTGTCCAAGGGACAGAGGCCGGGCGGGAAGCCGAGGAAGAGGAGGAGGAGGAGGAGGAGAGCTTGGACTGCGTGGCGGCGGCGTTGAAGCTCCAGCGCGAGGTGGAGGAGGAGTGCGGCACGCGCGTCTCTCGCCTCCTCAAGACGGGAGAACACCACCAACGCCGCAAGAGGAAGAACCAGTCCATCTTCAAACGGGAGCAGAAGGCGGCCGCCACCCTGGGCATCGTGGTGGGCGCCTTCACTTTCTGCTGGCTGCCGTTCTTCCTGGTGTCCACCGCCAGGCCCTTCGTTTGCGGCGTGGAGTGCAGCTGCGTGCCGCTCTGGCTGGAGAGAACTCTTTTGTGGCTGGGGTACGCCAACTCCCTCATCAATCCCTTTATCTACGCGTTCTTCAACCGCGATCTGAGGACCACGTACAGTAACCTACTGCGGTGCCGCTACAGGAACATCAACCGGAAGCTGTCGGCGGCGGGCATGCACGAAGCTCTGAAGCTGGTGGAGAAGCCGGACGCTAGCGTGTAGAGTCGGCGCTCTGCCGATGAGCGAGGCCGCAGGCATCAACGGAGACGGGCAGAGAAAACGCACGAGGGGGTTTTAGACATCGGGCACGAGGCCGCCACTCATCCATGAGGGTTATTCCCTCAAATCTGTACAATCATCACTGAGGCGAGAGGAGGCAGGCCGATGGGATTAAATGAATGCATATGAAGGGAAATGGAGGAAGGCTCATTCTTTTTGTTTTTCTGGGGGGCCGTTTAACAGTGAGGAAAGATCCATATTGTCTGAATTGTAGCGGCTGCAGTGCACTATTTGCAGAAAGCTGTACAGTGAAACCAATGGACAACTATTGTGATGACGGTTGTTCCCCACTGAACAGTTTTCTGCACGTGACATTGTTCCAAAAAGGTGATGGTGCTACACGGTGACTTTGTACTCATCGACCACGGCGATTGGACACCTTCCAACACAGTGGGGTCTTGTATTTTGAGATCGGAGCAAAGGAAAACTTGCCCTCGGAACCTAAAAAAAGGCAGGAGTTCTTAGATCTGGAGTGGCGTCATGTGACTACGAGACCAAACGTACACACTGTGGTCCCCGATCATCTAAACGTTGAGTTTCCTTCGCTGGACAAGGCTGATAACACGTAGACACGATATGATAAGAACTCGACTGACTTGTAAAATCTGTACACTAACGGATCAACCCGTTGATTCCCGTTGAACTTTATTGATCTGGTATGAGTTTTTATCTTTTCAAGATGCATTTAGGGGGGTTAATATCGCTGTGTCCAAATTCACCAAAACATGCTCCTCTCTTCTTCTGTTCGAGACCTGATCACCGCTTTCTTGTAAAAACTACTTATGGATCCAGACGTTGTGTTATCGGGCGGCTCTCTTCTAAACACACAACCTTTTTATAAAATGATCCAAGGAACCAGTGGGCGAGGCGAGGGGACGCCAGCCGATACGCCGGAGAGGAAGTACGGAGAACCACGATCCCTGTGAGTGCAGCACATAATAATCCCCGTTCAAACTATGCACTCTGTGTTTGAGAGTCGTCTCTACGTGCGACAGGCCTCCTCTGGGCTGAGCACGGCTCAGTTTTATCCCCTTGGCCTGTTACACCCCACAATAGCTCGTGAAAACAGGCACAAGTCAGACAAAAGCAAACGGGGGGGGGTTGTGGTGAGAACTCTGAGTTGGAAGAATGACCTACTTTTCCCGTGTACATTCTTACATTGATGCCGACCCACCAATCCCCATTTCACACCACGTCACTATCAATTTCACTACTGATTTCACAAATATTAAAGAAATGTCCACCAAGATTTCTTAGTCGTCAAGGTCATTTTTTCAAATTCACTGTTCTTTCTGAAAAATTGTTCAAACCCCGTGACAATTCATTTTAAAAACAGAGGCAGTAGTTGGATAAATTTGAGAGGCTGATTCCTGCAGTTTGGGGGCATTTTTGCTCGATTGATGACTTAATGTAATCAAACTTCTTAGTTGGTATTTCATTTACAACAAACACTAACAAATCAGCGGCCCTGAAAACAGACAGTTATCATGTAATTACTCTCATTACCAACTGACAGGTATCACGCCTCTCACCTGTAGCTGCCTCTCTGTTCTTCTGGGCCGAGGCTCGGAGAATAAATTCGATTCGAGAGGAGAAAGAGCAGATGACAGCTGGTGTTTGATTGGTGCTTTCAAGCCCCTCCCACAGAGATTAGAGCCACTCGGAGTGTCATTGTTGAAAAGCGCAGGTTCAGCTGTGGGGGAAGCGAGCCGGAGTGACGGCCGTCTGCAATTTGCTGTATTCACACGGAAATGTGACTGGATGTTAGTGCTCTTACTGTGTGTCGAGTGTGAGACACGCGTAGTCCTCTTGCTGTCATTTCTAAAACGTGTCTTGAGATATTAGTTACAAAGAGGTGTCGCTGTTTATTGTTTACGTGTTATGGATTTCTCACTGCCAGTATTATTATTAGTACAGTCTGTGCTGCTCGAAATGTTTCTTTGTTATTTCGAATTTGTGCCGCAACCAAAAAGCAACACATGGCAGTTAGTCAAATTCATAAATCTCTCTTTTAATTGAATTAATTCCTGCTTCTGAATATAAATTAAAGCTGCCTGCAGGTTTACTCAAATACAACCAGCGCCTCATGCGTACTCACCGAGTGGTACTTGGACTTGTGTCCACATTTTGTGTTACTGAAGAAAAAAAATACACAAACCTGGACTAAAAACCACAAAGCTTTGCTCTTACTTGTGTCACCTCATCTTGTATCTCCATGGCAACCACGATTCTGTGTATGCGTACAAAACCTCTTTAAAGGGAACCGCTGCTGCTACCTGTCCATCTACGGCCAGCAGCTTGTGGAGATCCTCCGCTGCCGTGGTTCATGCATCTGCACATCAATGCCTGCAGCATTTTAACTAACTGAATCGACTCACTTTGGGGCCTGTGAGCTAAAAAGGTGGCGAACTGCTGAACTGTAATCTTTCTGGGGGGCCGACGTGGCACCGCTGCACAGAGTGTTTGCCAGTAAATACGAGGACGTGTTTTCAAAAGAGCATTCAAAACAGAGAGGATCCCAAACCTCCCAAGTAGCTCAACAATGGTTTAATTACACTATGAAAAGAAATCACAAAAGTATCAAGAAGCCTGTGAGTTGACAATGGCTCAGTCATGATGACCAATAGAGAAAAGAAAGAACAAAAGCTAGTTTTTCTCTACACGATGCGATAATCAGACGGGGAGGAAGGCCGACGTGCTGAAAGGTAGATTAAAGACAAAAGTGCACCTGCGGCATTTAATGGCCGTCCGCTGCATCTCAGCCTCAGTGTGGCTGGATGTGCCCTCCCACTGAAAATGATAGAGTTTAAAAAACCTTTCTCCCTTTGGCGCTAAAACACTCTAGTGGCCAAATAACTGCAGTTGGTAAAAGAACCAAAGTCGACAACATCAAAAAGCTGTTTGGGTTCTCGCCTTCCTCACCGTTTATTATTATTAGTAAACCTATTGTTTAGGAGCTGAACTATGGTGACGCTACAAAATGCTAAATGCTAAGACCTTTACGGTGCAACTTAAAACCTCGGATCCCAAAAAGGAGTCTTTCCTTATTTACAATCTTACAATAAGACATAAAACTAAAGATAAAGCCCGAAAGAGATCCTAAAATAAATCTAAGAAGTAGCAAGATGATTTGCACGGAACTTGACAAATACATAGTTGATAAATATCACTTTTGCTAGCTTTTTATTTCGTGTAATTTTGTAAATTATACCACTAAATAAAATAACACGGCTTTCAAACAAAAGATGACCCCCCCCCATGTGAGGAAACCGACCTGAAATGAATGAAATTAGCCACGGTTTCCTCCTAGATCTTGACTTAAATTAACTGTTGCTATGTGAGTGTGCCAGAAAAGTCCTGCAGGCCTCAATGCACCATAATGCAATCCTGTTTCAGAACATTTAATCAGCCTTTTATAGAGCATTTGTACCAAAAGGGATGTTCTAAACAGGGATTATACATACAACATTGATCCCGCAGGACTTTGTACCGCCAGCCGCATCAAATCGCACACAAAAAGGCCGGCCCTGGGGGGGGGTGTATTCCTTTTATATGCTGTCATCCACACATTCAGTGTGTGATAGATGCGCTGCATGCTATATATAATGATGGAAACAAGAGCACGAGAGGCAGCGGACTGCATTACGACCGATGGCAGTTTGTCTCATTGACTCACAGAGAACACATGACGCGCCACGTGGGATTTTTCTGGAGGGATGCAATGCATCTTGGACTAATAAAATAGATTTTTTTTAATACTCGCTGTCGACAAGGGTGTAAAATATGTTGTCTGTGAAGTTCCGGGGGAAACCTTTTTGTTGTAGTTGAAGAATTGCAGGATATTAATGCTCTTTTTAAACAAAAGTTGTAGGCCTTATGAGGCAATGAAAAATACCAATTAGACATAATTGTCCTAAGACAGACAGAAGTGCTGTGCTGGTGTTCTACCATTAACACTGTAGTAAAAAGACAACGAAGGCTGGGGACGTGTGTCAAATGTAAATATATCTGTATATGCATCTAAAATGTTTTATCGGCATCGTTCGTTCAAAAGAATACACCTAAACATGTAAGACTTTTTAAAATAAAAAATGTTTTACCATGTTTCATGTGTGGACGTCCTGTTTTGATTAGCAGCAAAAAACACAAATAGTATATTAAATGAAAATGTGATTCATTTGTACAGTAAACTGCTGATCTGCGAAGGGTGTTTGATGCATGTTGATGCATGCATGTATTAGAAATTAGACTAATCATTAACTGAATTCCTGCCTCTACCTTCACTTCATCTCAAGTCGAGGTGCCGGAACTCTGTGACTTTTCACGGGCTTTGTGGCTTTGTTTTCGTCATTTGAATTAAATAATGTTTTGCTTCATGTGCAAATGACACAGGAAACCTGCATCAATGCACCGGTTATTGATTAGACTGTTTTCTAAAAATATGTAATAAGTATAATCAATCTTGTACCTCCACTATAATAACCACCATTTACTTGTGATGCTTCAAAGCGGCTCGTAGCACATTTAATAAATGAATAAGCTGGGGAAAGCAAATTCTAAGAACGTTCTCACTGAAACAGAAGTTGTCATAGCTGATTAATGAGAGTTGTCTTTCGTGTTGTGTGTGGCTTGAAAACTTGAAGAAAACCTTGAAAAGGAAAGAAAAAGGAATTGACTGCATAAGCTGGCTGCTTGTGTACTTTATGCTTACGGCTTGTATACTGTATGCATTTGCTTGTATACTGTATGCATACGGCTTGTATACTGTATGCATTTGCTTGTATACTGTATGCATACGGCTTGTATACTTTATGCATTTTTCTTGTATACTGTATGCAAACGGCTTGTATACTGTATGCATTTTTCTTGTATACTGTATGCAAACGGCTTGTATACTGTATGCATTTTTCTTGTATACTGTATGCAAACGGCTTGTATACTGTATGCATTTTTCTTGTATACTGTATGCAAACGGCTTGTATACTGTATGCATTTTTCTTGTATACTTTATGCATTTTGCTTGTATACTTTATGCATTTTGCTTGTATACTGTATGCCTTTTTCTTGTATACTGTATGCATACGGCTTGTATACTGTATGCATTTTTCTTGTATACTGTATGCAAACGGCTTGTATACTGTATGACAAAGAGACACAGATTGAAATGTCGTTTGAAAAGCGCTGATTGGAATTTAAGTTGATCAAATATTAATTTGCAGCAGGTGTTTGCTTGAGGCGGAAATAATTAACAACCAAGGGAACAACTAAAAGGTTGTCTGAAATGCGGATGAGTCAGTAAAGGGCAAACAATTTTATTGTAGACTACAACCAAAAGAAAATATTGAATAAGCCTGGATGTATTTCAAACAGTGACATCTGTCACATCTTCTCAGGGTGGCTTTTTTTCAATAAAGCATGTATCAATTTTACAGTTTACAAATTATTTTATTGTTTAACATTAAAGCTGTAGTGCCAGTTAGCATTGGCAAGCCACTATACTACAATCTACAGTGCTAATAAAAGGTATCCCCCCCCCCCAATATGTTCACATCACCTTCCCGGTGATTGGAGTCTGATTAGACCTACTTTTTGAAGCAGTGATATGAATGAATCCCATTGAGATTTTCACCCAAGCAACCCCTAAAAGACAGATGACTCATCGCTGTGACATATCGACTAAAAGAAACGATTCTCGCAGACATTTATTCAATTAAACTTTGAGTTCATACAAATACGCCAAAAGCTGCTCAACGTACAAAAACCTAAAACAGGAACATTTCATTTCTTTTTGAATGAAAGTCATGCCGGCTAATAAACAACTGGGCTGTCAAATTCCCTTTTATTCATTTATTCATTGGCTTTGAGTGTTATTAGAATGACGCGAGCAAACTAGCCATGCTAAAACGATGCGTCAACGACGCGCTGATTGCGATGAGTCAGCGTGTGGGGAGGCGGCAGCGAGATAGTGGTGGCTTCTTGTGGACGGCCATCACACTGATTATGTCCTTGAGTCTGTGGCAGTGAGAAAGAAGGGCTGTTAAATCTGCCATTCATCGAAAGCTGGAGACAAAGATCAACTCCATCTGCTCTTTTTAGTGATGCCCCTGACAGTCGATCACACGGACGCGCGTGTTCACACTTCACAAAGCTGTGCTGGAGGCAGAAATAATGTCATGATGGCTTAGTTAAACACGCCATCAAATGTTTTATTCAGAAGTACTTTCAACCTTACATTTGACTTTTGACATCTGTAATAAAATATTTGAACTTTTTTTCTAAGACATTTTTCGAAATAATGTATATGACCTTTTGTGAATAGTTGACTTTTTCGTCCATGACTTCTTTTGACCAAATGTGTTGACTTAACATATTTACAATTCTTTTCAAAGAATCTATGCCTTTTTTTTATGACTTTTTCCAACCGAACATATTTTTTGAATTTCTGACTTTTTTGTCCCCTTGACTTTTTTTTACCTTTTACTTTGACTCTTTCTTCCATTATATTTCTCGGCCTAAGATTTCTACATTTTTTTTCTCAATTTCTTTTCATTTTCTTAACATGTTAGGACTCTCTTCATAATAATTTGTTACTTTTTTTCTCCATGACAATTTTTGACCTAAGATGTTTAGAATTTTCTAGAAACATTATTCAACCTAATATCTTTTTTTTCTATGAGATTTTTTGACCTTTTGTTCCCTGACATTTTTTGACCGGAGACTTTTTTTTCTTTTACCAAAGAAGTTTGGGAATTTTGGACATGACGTAATTTTTTTAAAACTTTCTAGTCCTACTAACTAAATAACCTAATCAATTTGCAGCATCTTCAGTACATTGTTGTCAATTAAATCTAGCTCTGAGATCCATCCATCTTCAAAGGGTCACAAGGGGTCGCGGGGGGGGGGGGGGGGGAGAGAAAATACACCTGGGAATGGGCCCCCGCCAATCACAGGGCTGACACCGAGAGAAAAAACCATTCACACTCACATCCCCACACCTACCGGGAATTTAGAGTCACCAATCAACCTGATCCCCGCCCATTAGAAGTACCATACCCTAATCTATTCCCTTTTCTCCAAAATATGTTAGCTTTTGGTGGAGAAGTTTGGATTTATCAAATATGCATAGGTTTTTGTTTAGCAAACAAATATGTTAACAATGGATTCATTCACATTAGCAAAAGGTACAAACTAGCTCGTAATCCAAGTTTAACATCGAGAGGTTTAAGAGCCAGATAACACATTAAATGCTTAGTGAATATTATGCCTACATTTATCAAATAGACACAAATACGATTTTGAATTAATACCAATGTTGCTCTTTGTCCTCTGGACTTGTAAATAGGGAGCTGTCAGCCAACAAAAAAAAGCCAGAATAGATTTATAAAGTAATGAAGTCACAGGTGTTAACTAGATTGCTCTTCTGTCCCCAAGTGCCTTGCAGAAGAAAATCAATGAATTTAGAAGGGTGACGTAAGGAGGACATTTAGAGACGATGAAAACACATAAAGCCACTTCAATACATTTAATGTCCTCCTTTACCTCTTACTGAATGCAGTGAAAGATGAGTAGGTGGCTGAAACGATCCGACAAGGACTCCCAAACAAATGAAGACAAACTGAAAAAGAACAAAGGGGACACGGGGCAAGTTACCAAGCAAATGATGAATGGGGGACGGACGGGGGGGCAAAGCCTCAGGCGAGCCGCCAGCGGGCTGGACGTGGCAGAAGAAGAGACCCCACCATCGAAGGCAGAGCCCCTCTGGGGGTCGGGCAGGAGGCCAACGGCAAGACTTGAGATCAAGTGGCTGGCACCAGAAGGTTTTGACTCCGGCACGGAGCCGGCTGCTCCGCTTCGCAGGTCGTCGTGATTGGGCAGCTCGGGGCAAGAGGGGGACGGACACGAACGGCCCGGAGAGATGAGGAGGCAGCAGCCACCGCGCGACGATCGGACGGAAGCAGCTTTTTAGGCTGGTGTGAAGTGAAGGGCGACAGGGAACAAAGGCGCCTGGGTGGTGTGAATGTTGAGAAGCTGAGAAGCGGGTGTGGAGAAGTGAGGCTGATGAGAGACGGGTGAAACTAATCACAGCAGGACAGACAATCCAGGCCCAGTGTCCCCCCCCCCCTCTTGAGGACGGTGCTCGACAGCTTTTCGTAGACAGACGTCCACCCCTGAACGCTTTAATCATGTCTTGCTGTACATCTCAAAGGAGATAATTTTTCAAAGTGGTGCGTGAATAGAAGCATGCTCAATTAAGTATAGAAGTATGAATATGAAATGAACATGAATTTTGAGACACACAGTATGAAACACAACATCATTAAATTCCCTCTGCTTGAAAAAGCACAATGCACACTTTAACATTTGATGCTTTGAAAGGTTCTTTATTAAAGTGTCATGTGAGGTTTTAATGGGTTTGGAATTACAGCCACAGGTCTCCTTTGCCGTCGTGGATAAGACAAATATACACACACACACACAAGAGATTACACACACTTTCCACACACTATAAGAACTTTTTCTTGTAGCCAAACTTTATGACCCCAACAGGAGTCATCTGCTATCTTTCACATCCTGGTTATGATTGCAGTATTGGGCTGAACTCTCGCTGTCACTGTCCGAAAGTAATTCAAAAGTTAGAAATAATGTCAAATCCACCAACAGCAGCGTGTGGCCTTCGGCTCTTGGAGGGTTTCAGTGACGGTGAGCGAGAGCCTGAAGGAGCATTAAGAGTTTGACAGAGACGATCTCGAAATAAAAATGGCGACGGTTTGGAAGGAAAGTTACACCCCAGAAACTGCTAACAAGACAGCGGCCATCTTCAAAGTACTTCGTAACTCCAAATTTCCAATTAAAAAGCAAAATCCTTTCATGTTTTGCAACATAATACAGAACGACGTGATGTTGAAGGAGCCCCTCGGTGTCGGTGACTTCAGGCTCATAATGAAGGATGAGTCAATGAGTCAATGAAGAGCTTTACTCGCTTCCTTTGATCAAAAGTTAAATCACTTCTATGTGAAACACACTCACACGTTTTGCTGATTAAGTATAAACCCTAAAAAAGTTAGATTGTTTTGTGGCTGCTGAAAGAAGACAGCAGCAAAATG